CTTACATTACACTTTCGCAACATATGTGTCCTGGTACGAGGCTTTGGCTTTGGCGAGCACAGCAAATACATGTATAAGTAATAAGCAATCCTTACATGTGGAAATCTGTAGCTTAAATTTTGGCCAAATTGTTTCATTCCTGCTGGTTATGTAGGCTGTTGCGTTAACTGTGTTAGTTTACAAAATTAGTTTGTTTAGGGAACTAAAGTACAGATAAAGTACATATATGAAATAATTTGCTTATTCGCTAAAGTTTTGGTTTAAGTTTTCACGAGACACATAATTCGTGAAGGAAATATCTTATTACGTTATGACCTTATAGATGCCGGTATTGAAGATTCATCCTTTTTGCTACAATTATGAGTATAATAAAATATTTTATATTACAGTTAAAAATACCAATATTTAGTTAGCTTAAAAAGTTTTTAACATTGTTTTTTCCTGTGGTGCCACAACGGGCCATTACTTTGAGCTCTTGTGGACTTTCTTGGTATACAAGGCCGCCACTCCAACTTAACCTAACATCTTTTTTAATAGGCAATGTTTAGGATGTTGTTAACTAAACCGCATGAAATTAGGAAATGATTCGCTGATTCATGAAATTATTAGAGTTCAAGTGAGTTTTGAGCACAAGGTCCCCACTGCGACCTAACCTAACTCAGGGCAGCAAAAAAAATTTAACAGAAAAAACTTTAATTTTAAATTATTTAATGATTCAATTCTTATTCCAAATATATGGCCTAAGGAAAAAAATAAATTTAGTTTTTAAAATTCACTTATTGTTAGTTTTTTAAGCTAAAATAAACAATAACAAAAAAGTTGAAGGTGATGGAAACAAAAAATATTTAAGCAAGAAATATTTGTTAAATAAAATAATTTTGATAATAACTTTTCCAATTTTATTAGACTGTTCGAAGGCTCCATCATTTTAATATCTCTTGTAGGTATAGCGAGTCTCTTGTATAGCGTTTAAAATATAGAACAAAAATATTATTCTATATGTAGGGTTCATTTGGCTGCCAAGATTCTCGCACTACTATAAACATCTTGACAGCACAAAAACATCATAAAGCATTAACACAATGTCTTAAATCTTATATCGTGTCCAACTTGCATTATCTTCATTTTAAAGAAAATAAAAAAAAATACTTAAATATTAACTTCTATTTCTCTTAATTTTTTTAATAGCTCATAGATCAACGCGGCCTTTTTGTGTCTTTATAAAATATTTATATACTTTTTAATCAAACTGTACTATATCATCATCAAATCAATTAACAAAATAGGAAACTAATATATTAACTTTCATTTCTATAAATTTTCATAATTTTTTGTGTCTTTATATAGAATTTTTATGCATCAAGTTGCTCTTTCAGTATAATAGTGCTATTAAGGTTAACTTACATGATTACTATAATTAAAATATTAAACAAAAAAAAGCATTTTTTCCAACTTTATTAATTGCATATGATATAATATTTTTCTAATTTACATGAAAATCACCAAAACGCAACGATTTGCTTTTAGATAACAATCATTTAAATTGTATTTGGTTTACATTAATTACTATTCAATCTAATGATGACAGCAAACAATGAATATGCACCTTTGCAAGTTGAGAAGAATGTATCCAAATGTATGCGCAACATACCGCCAGCAACTGCAGTAGTGGGTTTCATTGAACGTTCAGTGAATAGAATCATATGCTTCTTGTACATTTGACTCTGATCCATCCAATTACTGCGAAACACCGCATAATGTAGTTGACCGAAGAGGTATTGGAAATCGCTGCCATAGTAACAGGTAGGAAATATTTGCATTGGCACAGCTAAAAGGTAGACCACATAGTACGGACGATCAATTGGGTCATCTACATAAAATATGAGTGCAGCCATAGCAACGCAAAGACACAATGCACTAACCGTGAATTGTATAAACATAGGTAGTGAAGTGATATCCTGAATTAAATCGAAAAGTCTAGAAGAAAATGTTTAAATAGTTTTGTAAATTTTATAAGAAATAAGTAGTTACTTAACTAACTTGTATAGATTATTTTGATCTTTTATACACTTGTCTAATTCTAACTCATTATCGGCGATTTTTGTCACACTGTAACCAATCTTTGACACTCTCATGCCCAAAATTTTAATATGTCCAGATAATAAACAAAGTGCCATCGAAGGAAAACAATCATCGACATAATTCTGTAGTAGCTGGAAACTTATACCCACCATTTGATACAAACTGGCCAATAAATATTTTAATATGGATTCACGCCAATTAAATGGAAACCAAGCAGGATATAATAGATTACGTTCCTCTTTTAAAATCACTGACAAGCTACCAGTCACAATGACTGGAAAATAAATTATAACAAAACTGTAAGCAATATTTCTCATATCTGTACGCAATTTTCCAAATTCCTGCTTTTCATCCACACTTTGAACTCTGGCATCCAACTTCTCTAGTAGCATTTCCATTTCACGTACCTTATCCAATTTGATGGCGTAGATGAGAAACTTTAAGGTACATGCGGTACACGTAACGCTAATTGCAAAATTTTTTAAATTATCCGTTGCCGTTTGATTTTGAAATAATGACATTAACAAATGTATAGGATAATAAAGAGTAACCACAATATTCAGTATGATGCCGTAAAGTAAATAAGCTGATTTATTTTTGACCTTTTGTCGTGCTATACCCAAAATTTTCCAGCACAGCCAATGTGGCTTGAAAAAATCTGTACTTGCTACTGCGTCCATATTCACTTAAGTGAAAATAAATTTTGGTATTTTTTTCTTTACCTTTTATAAGGTTTTGATGATGGAAATTTAAGAAATTAATTGTGTAATTAACCGTAATTACTCAATTAGGCACGCATGCAATGTGTTTACTTAATTATTGATGCGTTAATGTATAATGGCGTAGGTTAATTGATTCAAACATGGAGCTTTTAATGAGAAACAGATTAACAATAATTATTCTTTTTTCACATTTTATAAATACATTTTCAGTGTAGTTATTTGTGTGTTGTAATTATACAAATGTTGTAATATTAATTCTAGTGTTAAATCTAGAATATAAAGTGAAGTAAATACAACCGACAAGATTGACAGTTTATATTTCACTAAATTTTGTTTACATTTCATTATTTAAGATTGCTTAAACTAATGCAAAACATACTAGATTATAACACTTTCTCCGCCCTTAATTTTTGACAAAGTTTGAGTTTTCCTGAAATCGTCGGATTCAAATCGATTAACATCCTTCCGAATACGACCACTTTTTCGAAGTTGAACTACTTCGGTAGAACGTTCTTCACTAGGCATTAATGTTGATTGGCTAGATGAAGGCGGTGTGGCATTGATGAAATTTGGAGCGAATTCAAAAATTGGTTGTGAAGAGAGGTCAGAGCTACTTCTAGTTTTAAGCTGATTAACATGACGTTTGATGTAACCAAAAGATGTGTTCACTCGGTAAACCATTTTACCAAGTTGTTTCACAATAACTCCTTTTATCCATTTTTCCCCTCTTGCGTAGTTTCGAGCGAAGACGGGTTGCTTTAGACTAAATTTCATTTTCCTTTTCGAAGCTTCAAGGTGCTTCCTAGGCGATTCAAACAGTTGACTCAACAAGGTACGAACAGGCCTTCCATGTAGAAGTTCTGCAGGTGATTTACCTTCAGCATTCGGCATTGCACGATATGTTGCAAGATATTTTGATACAGCGAATTTGAGAGACAATCCATCGTCAATGTTTTTCTTAACAGCAGTTTTAAAAGATCTGACGAATCGTTCGGCTAACCCGTTTGAGGCTGGATGAAACGGCGCTGTTGTTATATGTTTGATGCCAAGTTTTGAGCAAAAATTGTTGAATGCTTCAGCTGTAAATTGCGGACCATTGTCACTTACGATGGTTTCTGGTATACCTTCCAGAGAAAATATAGAAGACAATGCTGATATGGTGTCAACCGTTGTTGTTGTAGATAGTTGTACAACGAACGGAAATTGCGAGAAAGCGTCGACACAAATTAGCCACATTGAATTACAAAATGGACCAGCAAAGTCGATATGTACTCTCTCCCAAGGTCGATCAGCTTCAGGCCAGCTTACGTATTCACGTGCGGAACAGGATTTGCAATTTTGCACACATCACAATTTTCAGTTAATTGTGCGATGTCTTTGTCAATATTAGTCCACCAGACATGTTGTCTCGATACTCCCCAATGACCATCATGAAGAAGTTTAAGAATTTTCTGCTTAAGGGAGGCTGGAATGACAACCCGGTTGTACTCCGTCTGGAGGCAAAGCAAATTGTTGTTTAGTATTAAAGCAAAGCGATGATTGAAAAATGATCGAAGATCAGCATCTTGAGGCATTAGCTTTTCAGGCCAACCGTTTGTAACGAGAAAATAAACTCGGCGAAGAATTGGGTCATTTTTGGCATGCTGACGAATTATTTCAGCGTCAATAGGTGTGTTAAGTTCATTGATGTTGAAACAAGATTCTTCATGATCAAAAGTTTTATCTTCACCAACAGGTAAACGAGATAAAGCATCGGCATTTCCATGCTCAGTAGTTTTACGATACCGAACATCATACTGATAAGCCATTAGTATAATAGCCCATCGCTGTAAACGATGTGACGTCATCGACGGCAACTGATGAATTGGATTAAAAATGCTAACAAGAGGTTTGTGGTCAGTAACCAAGGTGAATCTTCTTCCGTATAAATATTGATGGAAACGCTTGACTCCAAAAACGATAGCTAGCCCTTCCTTCTCTATCTGACTATATCGTCGTTGATGAATGTCGAGAGTTTTAGATGCAAAAGCAATAGGCCTTTCTGTACCGTCAAAGTACGTATGCGAGAGCACAACTCCTATGCCATAGGAGGAGGCATCTGTAGCTAGAACCAACGGTAAATCTTCCTGATAATGTGCTAATTGCGCTGCATTGAGAATATGCGTTTTTAGAGCTGTAAATGCTTGTTGTTGTGCTGTACCCCATGTGAATTTTACATTTTTTCGGCGCAGCATGTTGATTGGCGCGGATAATTGCGAAAAATTAGGTATAAAATTATGGTAATAGGTTACCTTACCCATGAATGCTTCTGCTTGCTTTAGATCTTTAGGCGGCTGCAGGTTTTTGACTGCTTTTAATCCTGACTCATCTGGCAATATACCTTTTGCACTAATTTGACGCCCGAGATACTCGATTTTATCTCGCAGAAAGAAACATTTTTCTTGCTTGCACCTGATACCATTTTGTTGCAAAATACGAAGTACTTGTTCTAGGCGGCTGATGTGTTGTTGAAATGTAGGTGCGGAGATGATGATGTCATCGAGATAATTTCCACAACCTTCTACGCCTTGAAGTAACTGCTCAAGATATCTTTGGAATATAGCTGGAGCGCTTGCAATCCCAAACGGTAAACGTTGGTATTGGAATAACCCAAGTGGAGTGTTGACAACCATTATTGTTTTTGCTTCATCGTCAAGTTCCATTTGTAAATACGCGTCCTTAAGGTCGATTTTTGTAAAATGTTGACCGCAATTAATTTTATGGAAAAGACTTTCGCGTATGGGCAAAGGATATTGTTCAATGTCAATTTGCGCATTGACTGCTTGTTTAAAATCCCCACAAATTCTTATGGAACCATCAGCTTTTGGAGCTAGTACAATAGGCGAAGCCCATTGGGAAAACTTCACAGGTTTCCAAATACCCGCATTTGTCAATCGATTGACTTCTTTCTTGAAAAGTGACATTTGCGAAAATGGAATTTGTCGGCTTTTGTAAAATTTCGGATGTGCATTTGGCTTTAAAAAAATACTGACCTTAAAGTTTTTTATTGTGCCAAGAGCTGGTTCAAAAATATCACCATATTTCTTACACAGCTCGCTTATTCTGTGTGATTCACTTTCAGTAATGTTACAAATTTGCTGAATCTCAAACCCGAATTCTGTGAATAAATCGAAACCGAATAAATTGTTACAGTTTTCGACATCCACGACAACGATTACCACTTCCCTTTCTTTTCCGCCACATTTGATATCTACGCAAAGTTCACCAAGCACTGGAATTTCATTTTTGCCAAAACCAAATAAGGTTTTTGTACAATTTTGCAACTTTGGGCAATTTAGAGTTTTGAATGTTCGCTTATTTATTAAAGAAACTGTTGCACCAGAATCCATTTGGAAAGACACAATTTTATTACAAATTTCCAAGTCAATGTAATTCTTATTGCTTTCAGTTTTTACAATACCTGTTAAACTGTTAATTGTTTCAACAGTACCAATGTTGTGACTTTTACGACGGTAATCTTTCTTCTTGTTTTCATCACCTAAATTACGTTTGTTGTTCTTGTTTTGTTTTGACATGCACACTGGCGCAATATGTCCAATTTTGCTACATCTATTGCATACAGCATTTCTAAATTTACAGTTTTCTCTTGCATGAGAGTTTCCACAGCCAGAACATGATTTGAATTTTACTTTATTATTGTTATTGTTGAAAACACCCGGTTTTTTTATAATTGTACCAACTGAATTAACAGGCATTGAGTTTTCGATCGTTTGTTCTTTAATTGTTGCCACCGTTTTAGTGGTTGTTTCGTACAATTCTGCAATCTGCAAAACATCAGCAAGTGTTGGCTGGGGCTTTTGGAACGCAGCCGTGCGCACTGCATCGTGAGGTGTACGTATAATAATTTGGTCACGAATCATATCATCCACGAAATTGTGTAAACAATTCTGGGCTGAGCACGAAAAGTTACACTCTCTTGCCAATCCGCGGAGATCGGCTACCCACTCTCTGTATGATTGATGTGGCTTCATTTCCCTTTTGAAAAAATCGTAACGTGCAGCGACCACATGTCGTTTCGACTGGAAATGATCCGTTAGTTTTTCCGTTAAATTTTTGAAAGATTGTTCTTGTACTTTCGTGTTACCGAAAAGATTTTTTAGCAGCTCAAAATTTTCTGTGCCAATCCAAGACAAGAAAAATGATTTTTGTTTTTCACTGCACTGAACTGAATATGCTAAAAAATGTTGGTTAAGTTGTTCTAAGTACGATTCCCAGGTTTGCTGTTCTTTCGAAAATTTGTGAAATACTGGAACAATGTTGTTATTTCTTTCAGATACACCGGCAGTACCTTGTTTTTGGAACATTGAGTCCATCCACTCACGTTGTTGTTTCAGTAAATTTTTTGAGAACTCTTGTTGTTCTTTAAGCAATTGCTTATAAATTTCACTTTCGCCCGGCATGATTGTATTTAAAATTGAACGGTACGAAATAAGCGTGAAAGCGATTGAATAATTGCAGATTTTTAT